GGGGCAACAGAGGTACTCATGTATATGAAAGTAACCGACATATCAATAATTATTTGAAGCATTTGTGCCTAGTGTATCGGGTGCCCTCTGGACGGCATTGTACTAATATGTAGGGGAAGCGAAACTGGAATAATGCAATTCACTATTTTATAGAAGGTCCATAAGATCGTTATAAATAAACTTCTGTTTAACCAGGGAGAATATTTTAGTTTCTTTTGCTCTGTAGCAAGTTAACGTCCATTAAAAACTGGAGTAAGGTTCACCATATGATCCATTTAATTATGCCCTCTTATTGGATATCAACAAACTGTTGAAGATGAGTAGCAGGATTGAGGGAACCATATGACAGAACATGTTCAAATATAGACCTAATTACGCTAAATAAACGATCTTTTTCTGCTTTTATCAGTAGTGAAATTGACATGTTCTACTAAGTAGTCCAAGTCTAGAGGTAGCTTTGGAAAACAAGCGCTTTACATTGTGCACCCCAATTTAACCTGGAGTTAAATTGCGACCTCCTAAAACTGACTGCGATGCTCAAAGTCAATATCACTTCAGAAAGTTTATAAAGTGAAAAAAGAAGTTAATGAATGGCAAGTTATCCAGCGTTTCTTTGCAGGACACAGAGAAGGGCTTTGCACTTTTGTGGTGGAACTTAATCGATTTCTCACTGACCAATCATATAATCTGTTGATGTCATTTTGATTATGTGATGGTCAGGGTAAACCAATGATCTCCCACCAAAATTTAGTGTCCAACTGCATAAAGGGCGATATAGGTTGCCTTCAAGACACAGAGAGAACATGTCATAGTAAATTATTACAAACAAAAAAGGGCCAAGTATAGAACCTTGAGGGTACACCAGACCGAACTGGTAGAGAAGAAGACTTTGGCCTCCTAACACTACTATGTTGATATGTCCGCCCCTCAAGATAGGACTTAATAAATTTAAGCATTAGTCCATCGACATTAAGAATATTCTTTAATATACTTAAAATGAGGTCATGCAAACGCTATCAAAGGCTTTCGCAAAATCAAATATATTTATATCAGTCCTGAACCTGTTAATCAATGCAAGTGCAAGATTGTCCGTGAAAGGATCATTTGGATTTATAGTACCATAGCCGCCTAATAATTCCCGCACTTAGTAAACACCTTATATGTAATTAAGTAGACGCTTAGATTTAGAGCCCAATTAAGTAAATCAGACAAAGAAAGGCTATTGGACGCTAGAAGGGGTTCTACTCAAACCCAATTGAACACCATAGAAAGGTTTTGAGGTAAGAACACCCGATAGTAACCACTAACATATACTTTTTAAGGTCTGCCGGACATTAGTATATAGTTATTGTAATTGTAGATTTTACTTAGTTATACCAATATTCAGAGATGTGGCGTACATTTTTTTTTGGGGGGGGGGGGACTTTAATATCAAATTTTTACAGGTTTTTTTTGTGATTTTAAGTGTTTTTCCGAGAATCAGTTATCAGTAAATAAGATAATTAGGTACGATAAGAGTATAATTTTACGGCTTTCATTTCTTTTTAAATTTCCGATCATCAGATTTCCACTCTTTAAGATTGTATTTAAATCTAAATTGTATATGATTCGTATTTGACAAGTAACATAAATGATATGATTTCATCAGAATTGATGTAAATAAATGATGCAAAGACTTACGAAGATCTAATCACAACCGCTTTCTATAATTGTGTATAAAGTCCTAGCCAATGAAATATAATATAATAAAATAATATTTCCATATAAGGAAACCATCCTTATATTTTTACCCCTTTAGTGATTACTACAATGTGAACATCACCTCCTACTGACCAAGGACCAACTAATTTGATCCCGTGATCAGCGGATCGCCCGCAACGAATAGAGATCGGATAGTCGAACATATTTTAACATTTTTTACGGTTATAATAAGCTAAAAAAATAATAACAATGTTTGAAAAATTATATTTACAAAAACATTAAAAAGAACACACATTCATGCATGCATGATAAAATAAGAACCCATTTTTTAAAAAAACCTGATATAATATATATATATTATTATTTTTCATACAAAATATGTATATTAAGTTATTTGATCCTTGAAATGTGTTTAGTTTTAATGTATTAATTGTAATAATGTCCGGTATCGCCAATGCAGTCCATTTTAGAATCATCCCATCAGCACAATGGTAAATGGTAGTCAATTAGCAATTAAAGGTGATTTTCCGTTACCTCCTAAAATATAGTTTTTACGATTCTTGAATCAAAATTCAAAATCAAAAATTATTGAAACCTACCCTATCTAGGGAATTTCTAATGGTCTTATACGAAAAACAAATATGGGCTATGTGATATGGACATGGTTATAGACTTTAATTTAAGCATATCCAATATAAAGAATTTAAGATCTTTAAAAGGCGGTAAGTTTAAACTATAATCAAAAGCATATAGTTAGTAATTAATTAAGTTAACCCGCATTAAATTAATTCTACTCCAGAACATACCGACAGGCCATTCCCTGCCTTTACGCGGCCTGCCCCCTCTCGTCTCTAGATTCATCTTCTCCGAAAATACCACCTAAAATGCCATCCGCTAAATCAGCAACGGCATTTGCTCCGGTTTCAATGAAATCGGGGCTGCAATGGTCAACGATTGTGTTACTGAAAGTGTTGAGGATTATATTGGATTTGTTACACACTTTATATAACAGAATACGATATCACAAATAATCAAAAAAATCATGAATAACTTGTAAATATTCGTTATATTACTACCCTTGCGAAATTAGTTTCGGGGATTAAATGGTGGAAAATCTCATCATATAGAATCATCAAGCGACAATGGGACCAGGCCTCATGGATTTCTGTCAGCAATCAAACTTGTTATTGGTGGAACTCTGTTATCAGCATAAAGACAACAATGGTACATGGCGGTCTCCCAACGGGTTATGTTAATCAAATAGATCCTAAATGTATTAATGGACGATTCAAACACTCGCTACTCAATAGTTAAGGTATGTCGAGGTCGGACATTAGGTTCAGATCAATATCTGTTTCGTAGGTGACGGCTGCAAATCAAACTGCAACCGGAAGCTAAGATCACTGCTAAAAGGCACGATTGAGCCTGCAATCGAACATTTGCGAAACTCGTCTAAGGATCAAGAGTACAACGTGCTCTTCAGACCGTATTTGATATGTCTGGCTAATGAGTGTCAACCTTGGGACTGTGGGATAATTTCAAGCAGACAGTCACTGATGTTCGATGGAAGTGCTTTGGAAAGCGTCCCCGGAAGGTTAAAGAACACACCTTCGCAAACCTCTAAGAACTGATAGGAGCAAAACATAGATAGATAGGATAAAACATGGTAATGAATGTTTTTGAAGATTATAGCATTCACATCTAAAATCCAAAACATCATTTTCCAAAATAAAAATATAAAATTTGGAGCCAAAGCGTGATTTGATACAGAAACTGATATTTGGTCAATGGCTGGTTAATCAGTACTTGAATGGGTCTAGAGATCCACTAAAATTCCAATTGGCTGTGCCTACAAATCAAATAAAGATACCTCTTAGTAATATAAAAGTATAAAGGAATACGTGAGAACATATTAAATCAATTTTTAAGCCAGAAACCGTTCATGGTTTTACTTTGAGGACTCCTATATATGTAATTCAATGTAACCCTTACCGGATTCCTCCGGTACTGGCTTACTCCTTCTGTTTTTTCTGTTTTTTTTTAGGAGGCAATTAATTTTTTCCTTATTGTATCCCCTCCTCCCTCTCGTCTCTAAGTTCTTCTTCTCCGAAAATACCTAAAATGCCATTCGCTACATCAGCAACGGCATTTGCACTGTTTTTTCCAATGAAATCGCTGCATGGTCAACGATTGTGTTTCTGAAAGTGTTGATGAATATTTGTTGTTATCACACTTTATATAACAGAATTAAGATATCAAAATTATCAAATTAATCAAAGAATAACTTGAAAACATACGTTAAACTACCCTTGCGAATTGATACGAGGATTTAATGGTGGGAAAATCTCTCTATAGTCAACCAAGCGACAATGGGGACCATGCTCATGGATTATTCTGTGCAACTAATCAACTTGTTATTGGTGGAACACTGTTTCAGATAAAGACAACAAGGGTACAAGCGGTCCTCCCCACGGGTTTAACTGTTAATCAAATAGATCATAATTTGTATTAATGGACGATTCAACACTCGCTACTCAATGTTAAGTATGTCGTTGGGCGGACATTTTTCAGATCACTATCTTGTCGAGGACAGCTGAAATCAAGACTGCAGCCGGTAGCATAAGATACACTGCTAAAAGGCACGAATGTGGCCTGCTAACGAACATTTGCGAAACACGTCTAAGGTTCAAGAGTACAACGTGGCTCATCAAACCGTTTTGATTGTCTGGCTAATGGAGGTTCAACTTGTAGTACATGTGTGATAATTTCAAGCAGACAGTCACTGATGTCTCCATGGAAGTGCTTGGAAAGCGTCCCCAGGAAGGTTAAAGACAACAACCTTTCGCAAACCTCTAAGAACTTGATAGAGCAAAAATAGGATTGTAGGATAAAACATGGTAATAAAGTTTTGGTATGATGAGAAGCAATCAACTTCTTAAAATCTACATAAAATCATTTCCAAAGATAAAAAAAAAATATAAATTGGCGCCAAGCCTAATTAGATACCGATCTTGATAATTAGGTCAAATGGCAGGTAAATCAGTACTATGAATGGGTCTAGAGATCCACTAACATTCAATTGGTTTGTGCCTAATAATCTATTTAATGATACCCATCTTATAATATAAAAGTATAAAGATGACGTGTTAAGCAGTATTAAGATCATATTTAAGCCAGCAACCGTTCTGGTTTTACTTAGGACACCTAAAGATTTAAATCAATGTAACCCTTACCGGATCTTGCCTCCGGTACTGGCTTACTCCTTCTGTTTATTTTCTTGAGCATATTAATCATTCCTATTTTTTTTCCCCTTCTCCCTCTCGTCTCTAGTTCTTCACTCCCAAAAAACGGGTCCCCCATCATCGCTCTAGTACTTCTTCTCCCAAAATACGGGTCCCCCTCTTCGCATCTAGTTCTTCTTCTTCCCAAAATACCGGTCCCCCTCTTCGCTCTAGGTTCCTTATCCTTCTCCCAAAAAACCGGGTCCCCCTCTTCGCCTCTCGTTCATTCTTCTCCCAAAATTACCGGGTCCCCCTCTCGTCTCTAAAGTTCTTCTTCTCCCCAAATACCGGGTCCCCCCTCTTCGCTCTAGATCTTACTTCTCCCAAAATACCGGTTCCCCCTCTTCGCTCTATTTCTTCTTGTCCCAAAATACCGTGTCCCCCTCTTCGCTCCTAGTTCTTCATGTCCCAAAATACCGTCCCCTCTTCGCTCAAGTTCTTCTTCTCCAAAATACCGGGATCCCCTCTTCGCTCTAGTTTCTCTTGTCCCAAAATAACCGGGTCCCCCTCTTCGCTCAAGTTCATCCTTTGCCCAAAATACCGGGTCCCCCTCTTCGCTCAGTTCTTCTTGTCCCCAAAAAACCGGGTCCCCCGCTTCGCTTCTAGTTCTTCTTCTCCCAAAAATTACCGTGTCCCCCCTCTTCCTCTAGTTTCTTCTTCTCCCAAAATACCGTTACCCCCTCTTCGCTCTAGTTCTTCTTGTCCCAAAATACCGGGTCCCCCTCTTCGCTCTAAGTTTCTTCATGTCCCAAAATACCGGTTCCCCCTCTTCGCTCTAGTTCTTCTTGTCCCCAAAAAAACCGGGTCCCCCCTCTTCGCTCTAGTTCTTCTTGTCCCAAAATACCCGGGTCCCCCTCTTCGCTCTAGTTCTTCTTCTCCCAAAATACCGGGTCCCCCTCTTCGCTCTAGTTCTTCTTTCTCCCAAAATACCGGTTCCCCCTCTCGCTCAAGTTCTTCCTTGTCCCAAAATACCGGTCCCCCACTTCGCTCTAGTTCTTCTAGTCCAAAATACCGGTCCCCCTCTTCGCTCTAGTTCTTCTTGTCCCAAAATACCGGTCCCCCTCTTCGCTCTAGTTTTCTTCTTAGGTCCCAAAATAACCGGTCCCCCCTCTTCGCTCTAGTTCTTCTTCTCCCTAAAATACCGGTCCCCCTCTTCGCTCTAGTTCTTCATCTCCCAAAATACCGGGTCCCCCTCTTCGCTCAAGTTCTTCTTCTCCCTAAATACCGGGTTCCCCCACTTCGCACTAGTTCTTCCTTCTCCCAAAATACCGGGTCCCCCTCTCGCACTAGTTCTTCTTGTCCCAAATACCGGGACCCCCCTCTTCGCTCTAGTTTCTTCTTCTCCCAAAAACCGGGTCCCCCCTCTTCGCTCTAGTTCTTCTTGGTCCCAAAATACCGGGTCCCCCTCTCGCTCTAGTTCTTCTTGTCCCAAAATTAAACCGGGTCCCTCGCCTCTTCGCTCTAGTTCTCTTGTCCCAAAATACCGGGTCCCCCACTCGCTCTAGTTCTTCTTGTCCCAAAATACCGGTCCCCCCTCTTCGCTCTAGTTCTTCATCTCCCAAAATATACCGTGTCCCCCTCTCGCACTAGTTCTTCTGTCCCAAAATACCGGGTCCCCCTCATTCGCTCTAGTTCTTCTTGTCCCAAAATACCGGGTCCCCCTCTCGCTCTAGTTCTTCTACTCCCAAAATACGGTCCCCTCTTCGCTCTAGTTCCTTCTTCTCCCAAATACCGGGTCCCCCTTCGCTCTAGTTCTTCTGTGTCCCAAAATACCGGTCCCCCTCTTCGCTCTAGTTCTTCCATTGTCCCAAAATACCGGTCCCCCTCTTCGCTCTAGTTCTTCTTGTCCCAAAATACCGTGTCCCCCTCTCGCTCAGTTTCTTCTTCTCCCAAAATAACGGTCCCCCTCTTCGCTCTAGTTCTTCCTACTCCCAAAATACCGGGTCCCCCTCTTCGCTCTAGTCTTCTCTCCCAAAATACCGGGTCCCCCTCTTCGCTCTAGTTACTTCTATCTCCCAAAATACCGGGTCCCCCTCTTTCCGCTCTAGTTCATCTTCTCTCAAACTACCGGGTCACCCTCTTCGCTCTACTTCTTTCTTGGTCCCAAAATACCGGGTCCCCCTCTTCGCGCTAAGTTTCTTCTTGTCCCAAAATACCGGGTCCCCCCCTCATCGCTCTAGTTTCTTCTTGTCCCAAAGTACAGGGTCCCCCTCTTCGCTCTAGATCCTTCTTGTCCCAAAACACCGGTGCCCCCCTCTTCGCTCTAGTTCATCTTTCTCCCAAAATACGGTCCCCCCACTTCGCTCTAGTTCTTCTCCACCCAAACAACCGGGTCCCCCCTTCGCTCTAGTTCTTCATCTCCAAAATACCGGGTCCCCCTCTTCGCTCTATTTCTCTTCTCCCAAAATACCGGGTCCCCTCTTCGCTCAGTTCTTCTTGTCCAAAAACCGGTCCCCTCTCGCTCAAGTTCTTCTTCTCCAAAATAACCGGTCCTCCTCTTCGCTCTAGTTCTTCTTCTCCCAAAATACCGTGTCCCCCTCTTCGCTCTAGTTCTTCTTGTCCCAAAATACCGGTCCCCCTCTTCGCTCTAGTTCTTCTTCTCCCAAAATACCGGACCCCCTCTTCGCTCTAGTTTCTTCATCTCCCAAAATACCGGGTCCCCCCTCTTCGTCTCCTAGTTCTTCTTGTCCAAAATACGGGTCCCCTCTCGCTCTAGTTCTACTTGTCCCAAAATTACGTGTCCCCCCTCTTCGCTCTAGTTCTTCTTGTCACCAAAATACCGGGTCCCACCTCTTCGCTCTAGTTCTACCTATTCCCAAAATACCGGGTCCCCCTCTTCGCTCTAGTTCTTCTTCCTCCCAAAATACCGGGTCCCCCCCTCATCGCTCTAGTTCTTCTTCTCCCAAAATACCGGGTCCCCCTCTTCGCTCTAGTTCTTCTTCTCCCAAAATACCGGGTCCCCCTCTTTCGCTCTAGTATCTTCTTGTCCCAAATACCGGGTCCCCCTCTTCGCTCACTTGTTCTTCTTGTCCCAAAATAACCGGGTCCCCCTCTTCGCTCTAGTTCTTCTTGTCCGAAAATACCGGTCCCCCTCTTCGCTCTAGTTGCTTCTTGTCCCAAAATACCGGTCCCCCTCTTCGCTCTAGTTCTTCTTGTCCCAAAATACCGGTCCCCCTCTTCGCTCTAGTTCTTCTTCTCCCAAAATACCGGGTCCCCCTCTTCGCTCTAGTTCTTCTTCTCCCAAAATACCGGGTCCCCTCTTCGCTCTAGTCTTCTTCTCCCAAAATACCGGGTCCCCTCTTCGCTCTATTTCTTCTCCCAAAAACCCGGGGTTCCTCTCTTCGCTCTAGTTCTTCTTCTCCCAAAATACCGGGTCCCCCTCTTCGCTCTAGTTCTTCTTCTCCCAAAATACCGGGTCCCCCTCTTCGCTCTAGTTCTTCTTCTCCCAAAATACCGGGTCCCCCTCTTCGCTCTAGTTCTTCTTCTCCCAAAATACCGGGTCCCCCTCTTCGCTCTAGTTCTTCTTCTCCCAAAATACCGGGTCCCCCTCTTCGCTCTAGTTCTTCTTCTCCCAAAATACCGGGTCCCCCTCTTCGCTCTAGTTCTTCTTCTCCCAAAATACCGGGTCCCCCTCTTCGCTCTAGTTCTTCTTGTCCCAAAATACCGGGTCCCCCTCTCCTCTCTAGTTCTTCTTGTCCCAAAATACCGGGTCCCCCTCTCGTCTCTAAAAGGGATGCTACTTCCGCCTGAAAAAATCAACGATCAAAGTTGATAAAAATCGTGAAAATAGCAATATTTAGTCATTTTAACAATCTTCCATCAATTTGGCCGTATCCCCACGTGTGCAACTTTTTTATTTTCAACTGTTAAACTAATTTAGTGTTGAACAGATGATAAAGTTTATTTTAATTTGAAACTCTTACCTCTTTCTTTACTAGTTTTACATTTGCCACGTTTTCGGGGTCTGCTACTTCCGTCTGAAAAAATTAACGATCATTAACATTATGCCAAGCTGTATGTCGGATTCGGGATGTGTCTCTTTTTTTAGATCTTGACTAATTTCTAAAATAAACTCCATGTAAGATTAAAAACTTTATAGCAATTATAATAAAATATAACTCAAAACTAACGAAGATACCGATAATGAATCGAAAAATAAAGTTGATATCACTCTGTTTTCGTTTTTTTTTGTTGAAATAAAATCATAAACTGGTTTAAACTCTCACCTCACTGTTAAGGCTCCTGGCTGTGCCAGGAGCAAACAGGGCCACAAAGAAAGTGAGGAGCACTACTGTAGTTACAGCCATGACTGCTGAATTACATGTTTAGTTCATTATTTGGTCAGCTTTGCCGTTTTGCCCCGATTTTAACCTTTTAATTTTAAAAAGTACTCGAGCAAGTTAAATACTCGTATGTTTTTTATTTTATAAATTTATGTGACACCGTTTAAACGCCTATAAATGTTTCAAAGCTCGGCTTACTAAAACTAGTCCATCGTTATTCATCGGATTCAGGGCTTTAAAAATGTTAAAGTGATTAACCTTTATCAAAAGCAAATTGGTCACGTTAACGCAACTAGTGAACTTGACGTCGGGCACGGTATTCTACGAATTAAAAGAATTATTTTCTCCGTCTGTTAGTATTTTCACAGCGTCAAATTTCTTTTTTGTAATCGGAAAACGTATTTTCGAAAATAGAAAATATCACGATATTATTATGATATTATTCCAAAACAGATTTTTGGTCGCCTGTGAAACCGAATCGCCCACAAGTACACCATGCAGGATTGTATTTTCTATAAATGGGCAAACATACGCTGAGAGATCATGAAATTGCAGCACAAGAGTTTGAAATTGAATTAATAAGTACAAAATATAAAAAAACTGCAAAGGATGTTCAAAAATGTTGCCAAGTTGTAACGTTACAACTTGTTGCCAGGATGGTTGAGCGAGTACTGACTTACTGAGCAGTTGTAAGCTCTAAACTGCTCGCAGCATACTCTAAACAGACACTTCTTCATGATGCCTAAGATTGCAGATTCTCATGATGATCATGAACTTTCCCCTATTCGCACACCGAATGGGTGTATAAACACATGATTATATAGATCACTCAATTCTTTTTGCTTATATGCAGTACATGTATATTGAAAATTACACGATAGAGTGCCCGGTACGTTGTTTTGTGACCTCAACAACTTGAGGGGGAAACATGGTTATTGTCCTTCTTACATAGTTATTCAACGGTTTTTACTAAATCCTCGTAATTCTTCGCATCATTTTGATTTATTAACATCAATTCTCAAATTATTTGTTATATAGTAGTGTTGAAAGTATTAAATATATATATAAGTGACTAGGCGAGTGGGCGGGCCGCAGCACTTTTTTTTGTCGGAACCTATCTACAGTAACAACTATCTGTTTGGTCTACTGAGAAACCTTTAGGTAGATTCATAAGCACTCAACAACTATGATGACGAAGTATCTCGCTGTCCTGCCTGTCAAAGAATTTACTGTAGTTATGCTATTTTTGTAAAACAACGTACTAAAATAATGTTTTTGCATGGTGTCTAACAATGTAAGTGTAATCGGTACACTGGGTACAGTTCAGCAAATAACACTGAGGGGAGTCCCCCGGTTTCAGTTATATGGCTATAATTGTCCTGCCTGAGTTGTGAGCAGGACATGAAAGGAGATAAAATTAAACTTGGTCGGATTTTTAAAAATGTTGTACCATAAAATTTGTTATACTTATTTGGAATGATCAGTGAGTTCCGTCATAGTGCCATATTTAATGATGCGCGGATTTTGGAGCCAAAACAGCAGCTAATTTGAGAATTAACTTAATGTCTGATGATTGGATATGCTCCAAATTTTTCGGAAAGCTTCTTTTTAAGTGCTCAAAGGTGTCCACAAATTTTGCCTAGTTGTTACGTCACAACTTGGTGCCTGGATGGTTGAGCGTGTACTGACTTACTGAGTAGTTGTAAGCTCTAAACTGCTCGCAGCATACTTTGAACAGACACTTCTTCATGATGCCTAAGATTGCAGATTCTCATGATGATGAACATTCCCTTATTCGCACACCGAATGGGTGTACAAACACATGATTATATAGATCACTCAATTCTTTTTGCTTTTATCCACTACATGTATATTGAAAATTACACGATAGAGTGCCCGGTACGTTGTTTTGTGACCTCAACAACTTGAGGGGGAAACATGGTTATTGTCCTTCTTAAGCCCTTTGTATCATTTAGAAGACATAGTTATTCGGCGGAGTCTAAAAAGTGACTACCCGACTCACCATTATCGCTCATAGAACATATTATATTAATGACTTGCATTCAATTTTTTTAAATATTGATCCCATTAACTTCTTCAATACACAGGACTTAATACGTCCACAAGATAAAAACGTACCTTTAAAAAATGAAGACTGGATATCCACGCCCACCCTCAATAAAGAAGAAAAGAAGAACACCCAACATACAGGAACACTCTTCGATCCCTCTTTTACTATCTTTATACTTTTATTATGGTTACTATTTTTCCATATTGTTATTTTATACTCAGTCGGCTCAGTGTGTTTTGGTTCGGGCCTTGCTTGCTGGCCCTGCCAAGGCTCTCTAGCTTAGGCAGGTTTGACTTATACATATATATATTTCATTGCTGAACTTCTACACAATAAAAAAAGCTGTTTTGACTTTTGACTAGATCCTCGTAATTCTTCGCATCATTTATTAACATCAATTCTCAAATTATTTGTTATATAGTAGTGTTGAAAGTATTAAATATATATATAAGTGACTAGGCGAGTGGGCGGGCCGCAGCACTTTTTTTGTCGGAACCTATCTACAGTAACAACTGTCTGTTTGGTCTACTGAGAAACCTTGAGGTAGATCCATAAGCACTTAACAACTATGATGACGAAGTATCTCGCTGTCCTGCCTGTCAAAGAATTTACTGTAGTTATGCTATTTTTGTAAAACAACGTACTAAAATAATGTTTTTGCATGGTGTCTAACAATGTAAGTGTAAGCGGTACACTGGGTACAGTTCAGCAAATAACACTGAGGGGAGTCCCCCGGTTTCAGTTATATGGCTATAATTGTCCTGCCTGAGTTGTGAGCAGGACATGAAAGGAGATAAAATTAAACTTGGTCGGATTTTCAAAAATGTTGTACCATAAAATTTGTTATACTTATTTGGAATGATCAGTGAGTTCCGTCATAGTGCCATATTTAATGATGCGTGGATTTTGGAGCCAAAACAGCAGCTAATTTGAGCATTAACTTAATGTCTGATGATTGGATATGCTCCAAATTTTTCGGAAAGCTTCTTTTTAAGTGCTCAAAGGTGTCCACAAATTTTGCCTAGTTGTTACGTTACAACTTGGTGCCTGGATGGTTGAGCGTGTACTGACTTACTGAGTAGTTGTAAGCTCTAAACTGCTCGCAGCATACTTTGAACAGACACTTCTTCATGATGCCTAAGATTGCAGATTCTCATGATGATGAACTTTCCCTTATTCACACACCGAATGGGTGTATAAACACATGATTATATAGATCACTCAATTCTTTTTGCTTTTATGCAGTACATGTATATCGGAATTTACACGATAGAGTGCCCGGTACATTGTTTTGTGACCTCAACAACTTGAGGGGGAAACATGGTTATTGTCCTTCTTAAGCCCTATGTATCATTTAGTAGACATAGTTATTCAACGGTTTTTACTAAATCCTCGTAATTCTTCGCATCATTTTGATTTATTAACATCAATTCTCAAATTATTTGTTATATAGTAGTGTTGAAAGTATTAAATATATATATATAAGTGACTAGGCGAGTGGGCGGGCCGCAGCACTTTTTTGTCGGAACCTATCTACAGTAACAACTGTCTGTTTGGTCTACTGAGAAACCTTGAAGTAGATCCATAAGCACTCAACAACAATGATGACGAAATATCTCTCTGTCCTGCCTGTCAAAGAATTTACTGTAGTTATGCTATCTTTGTAAAACAACGTACTAAAATAATGTTTTTGCATGGTGTCTAACAATGTAAGTGTTATCGGTACACTGGGTACAGTTCAGCAAATAACACTGAGGAGAGTCCCCCGGTTTCAGTTATATGGCTATAATTGTCCTGCCTGAGTTGTGAGCAGGACATGAAAGGAGATAAAATTAAACTTGGTCGGATTTTTAAAAATGTTGTACCATAAAATTTGTTATACTTATTTGGAATGATCAGTGAGTTCCGTCATAGTGCCATATTTAATGATGCGCGGATTTTGGAGCCAAAACAGCAGCTAATTTGAGCATTAACTTAATGTCTGATGATTGGATATGCTCCAAATTTTTCGGAAAGCTTCTTTTTAAGTGCTCAAAGGTGTCCAAAAATGTTGCTTAGTTGTAACGTTACAACTTGGTGCCTGGATGGTTGAGGGTGTACTGACTTACTGAGTAGTTGTAAGCTCTAAACTGCTCGCAGCATACTTTGAAGAGACACTTCTTCATGATGCCTAAGATTGCAGATTCTCATGATGATGAACGTTCCAATATTTGCACACCGAATGGGTGTATAAGCACATGATTATATAGATCACTCAATTCTTTTTGCTTATATGCAGTACATGTATATTGAAAATTACACGATAGAGTGCCCGGTACGTTGTTTTGTGACCTCAACAACTTGAGGGGGAGGCATGGTTATTGTCCTTCTTAAGCCCTATTCAAAACCGTTGAATAACTATGTCTACTAAATGATACATAGATGTATCATTTAGTAGACATAGTTATTCAACGGTTTTGACTAAATCCTCGTAATTCTTCGCATCATTTTGATTTATCAACATCAATTCTCAAATTATTTGTTATATAGTAGTGTTGAAAGTATTAAATATATATATAAGTGACTAGGCGAGAGGGCGGGCCGCAGCATTTTTTTTGTCGGAACCTATCTACAGTAACAACTATCTGTTTGGTCTACTGAGAAACCTTGAGATAGATTCATAAGCACTCAACAACTATGATGACGAAGTATCTCGCTGTCCTGCCTGTCAAAGAATTTACTGTAGTTATGCTATTTTTGTAAAACAACGTACTAAAATAATGTTTTTGCATGGTGTCTAACAATGTAAGTGTTATCGATACACTGGGTTCAGTTCAGCAAATAACACTGAGGGGAGTCCCCCGGTTTCAGTTATATGGCTATAATTGTCCTGCCTGAGTTGTGAGCAGGACATGAAAGGAGATAAAATTAAACTTGGTCGGATTTTTAAAAATGTTGTACCATAAAATTTGTTATACTTATTTGGAATGATCAGTGAGTTCCGTCATAGTGCCATATTTAATGATGCGCGGATTTGGAGCCAAAACAGCAGCTAATTTGAGAATTAACTTAATGTCTGATGATTGGATATGCTCCAAATTTTTCGGAAAGCTTCTTTCTAAGTGCTCAAAGGTGTCCACAAATTTTGCCTAGTTGTTACGTTACAACTTGGTGCCTGGATGGTTGAGCGTGTACTGACTTACTGAGTAGTTGTAAGCTCTAGACTGCTCGCAGCATACTTTGAACAGACACTTCTTCATGATGCCTAAGATTGCAGATTCTCATGATGATGAACTTTCCCGTGTTCGCACACCGGATGGGTGTATAAACACATGATTATATAGATCACTCAATTCTTTTTGCTTTTATGCAGTACATGTATATCGGAATTTACACGATAGAGTGCCCGGTACATTGTTTTGTGACCTCAACAACTTGAGGGGGAAACATGGTTATTGTCCTTCTTAAGCCCTTTGTATCATTTAGAAGACATTGTTATTCGGCGGAGTCTAACAAGTGACTACTTGACTCACCATTATCGCTCATAGAACATATTATATCAATGACTTGCATTCAATTTTTTAATTATTGATCCCATTAACCCCTTCATTACACAGAACAATACGTCCACAAGATAAAAACCTACCTTAAACTCTTAAAGAAATGAAGCACTGGATATCCACGTTAACGGGTGATACTCGTAAAATATCTGTTCCATATATATTAGGACCGCGTCCAACTCGGCGTGCGTCCTGGTAGGTTATAAACCTACAATATTCACGCCCACCCTCAATAAAGAAGAACACCCAACATACAGGAACACTCTTCGGTCCCTCCTTTACTATCTTTATACTTTTATTATGGTTACTATTTTTCCATATTGTTATTTTTATACCCAGTCGGCTCAGTGTGTTTTGGTTCGGGCCTTGCTTGCTGGCCCTGCCATGGCTCTCTAGCTTAGGCAGGTTTGACTTATATATATATATATATCCACTAGCG